AGCTAGCTATTTTATGCAAGTGGAAAACCACTAGCTAATACCAATTACACATCAATTGCACTGATATATACTATATATATATCTCTTATAATTATATATCAATTGTGCTAATATATACTATATATTTCAATTATACATTAATTGCACTGATATATGCTATATATCACTTTAAAGCAATTTAATAAAATTTTAATATTTAGTACTATTTGCACCAGATGGCCTTCAATTATTATATATATCACATGTGTGTAATTCTTTTTAATTTACTGATGATGATTGTGATCTCAAAAAGTTATATAATACTATCACAGGTCTTAAGCATAATTATTGCTTTGCTTATATTTTTTTTAGTTATTGGCTTGAGCTAAAAAGATGAAATGAAAACTTTCAAGTATTACTTTGCTAAATTTTTGGAAAGTTCAGCTCACTTCATTTTGATCCAAATTTTAGGCACAATAACTAGAATCCAAATTAGGTTAATATTGATACCTTAATTTTGAGTTAAAATATAATGGCTAGCTTTAATAAAATATATAACTAACTTTTAATAAAAGAATAATTTGCTATACTCTACTGAATTCTAAGATATTAGCTTTTGTATTAATATAATTTTTATTTTTATTTAACTAGTTTGGTCTGATTTACTTTATTATAAAGTGCTAACACTTTTTGGGCACTAGCATAAAGTGCTCTGATATTTTTTTAACATGAGCATAATATGCCTAGTATAAAAATATTATCTATTTTTTTTATAGATATTATATAGCACAAAATGTTAATTACTATTTAGATACAGGTATAAAATATCTTGTTTTGAGAATATTTATACCAGTACTTTAATGTCTATACTATAATTATATCTAGTATTTTTGTATCTTTTGTATAGATATAGACACAAGATGCTATATCTGATATGATACTCATTTGTCTAGCATAGGTATTTGCAGAATCTACTTTGATCTAAGTTTAAACTACACTCTTTTTAATAAGACTATAACTAATACAAACTGTTATATAACAAGGCTTATTACTCTATACTAATCTTCTCATATTATAGTTACTTCTAACCAGATATTCAAACAAGATTCTGCCCAATTTTGATTAAATTACCATCACAAATTAATTTACAAGCATTAAAAATTAGTTTTATATACATACTATACATAATAACATAAATACACTATACTTTTCAGCATCATTCACTTGGACTCTTACTTCAACAAATATATTATTTCAGCTCATATTTTTTTTGGTCCTCTATAACCAAAGTATAATCTAATTGGAATAATTTTAATATTATTAATAGTACTATCAGACTATCAGATAACAATTTTAATACTTTACAACAATTAATATAATTAATTCAAATTTACAAACTATATCTAACCTCAATTTAAAGCTTGCAAAAACAAAACTTCTGGTTACTTAAATAACTTATATATACTATTATAGTACAGAAAAATATCACAATCAAATTTATACTTATAGAAGTCAAGTCAAAGCCTATTGTTTCAATATATAATACAGACTATAATATCAATACAACACAATAAACTAAAACTTATTCTTCATGCACTTGATATTAATAACTTTTTATAAGCTAGAATAGTATAATTATTAAACACACAAAATACAAACAATATAGCCAAGTAGTATTCTCTAAACAGAGCCCAAATCTAGATTGGAAACTACTACACAATTTTATAAACTACAACAACAAACTGCATACTCAGTTTACATATCCTAAACTATCTCAAATTAAAAACTTCAAAATTAAGTTTCTTCTTAATGAACTATCCATACTTCTCAATCTACATTTCTGATATCCAAAAACTTATATTAATCTAACATATAAGAGATGCTATGCAGAAATCAAAAATAATACTCATTAGCTCATATGCAATAAAAACCAGATTACTATATATCAACTAATTTATGATACTATTGTTAAGTTTTTAAATAAACAAAAGATATACCAACAAACAGCTTCTGCAATTCTACAAAGGTTTTTACATCCTCCAACAATACTCTCTCTATAACAACAATACAAGATTTTACTCCTTCCAATATCTAGGAGCTCACTACCCTATCCAAACTTATTATACCCAACTATTGTATATAATCTCTAAGAACATTTATAAAACTATATGGCAAGCACAATGTATTGCAATAAACTAGCAGGATGTAACAACTAACCCACTTACCATATCCCCTCCAGAACACCCTTCCATATTACAACATAGTATAGCAAAATTTAACAAATGGGCAACTATCTTTCCCACTACTAACATATCACATCTTACATTGCTACTATAAATCTAGATAAGGTCTGTTAGCCTACTCTAGTAGAGTTTTAGGCCGAAGATAAAGTAGTCCTAGCTATAGATCCCTGTAGTAATTCATATAATTCATTTTACAAATGTAAAACATAAGTTATTCAATAAAGACCGAGACCAGGCCTCACTCTTTAAAAAAAAAAAATTTTAGAGTTGATAGAATAATTGAAACTTAAAATAACCAAAGAGAAATCAACAGATCTTGAAGAAATAAAACTATTATGAATGTTTACTACAAGTGTCTAACTATATTAAAAAATCTGAAACTTCACTAAGACTATAAAACCTCGACATCCAAAATTTCGACAGGCCATTATACTGACATCACGCGATGTTACAATTAAAATTTAAAGTCTGACAATGATTGTTAATGTGATTACTAATCCTTAAACATTAATTGTCACGTCGGGATTATGGTTTCGAGATTTTGGATATCGGGATTTTGTGGTAAATCGAATACTACATATCAAAATTAGTGACATTAAAAATTTTTGTTTGTAAGTTTTAAAACATTTCTAACATAAAATGTTCAAAAATAGAACGACCAATTCGTAATATTCGATATCGGCTAAACCAATCATTAATATTTTTGAAAAATTGATATAAATTATAGTTAAAAAATAAATTATACTTTTATAAAATTTTTTATGCTTAATAATATGGATGAGTTTGATGAGTTTGATGAGTTAAACCCAAAATTTTAAAATATTTATAGAATTTTGAATATGTACGTAAATTTGAACACGTACACGTGTGAATGTAGTACTAGCATAATTTTAATCAGTATTATTTTATTTTTTAAAAAATTTAACCAGTTTTTGATTTGGATGTTCTCATGAGATCTAATTTTTTTTAAAAAAGATTTTCTCAAATTCAAAATATTTACATAAATAAAATGTTATATAATTTGCTAAATCAATGTTCTCAAAAACCATCAAGCATAAGAGAGCTTTTAAGATAATATTCTCCTGAAAACATGAGAACGCAAGATTTCAACGCTGTTTCTAATTTAAGAATGAATTACGTCAATACAGAGGATACATAGGACGAAGTTTTCAATATCAAAATTAACTCTGTTACCAGCCTTTTTTAGTTGTTTTAAAAAACATTGTTTACGCAAATTTCATGATATTGAGTAGAATAAATAAAAGGAGTAGGGCTAAACTGATTTGAAAAATTTCCTTTAAATGTTTGGAAAGGTTTTTTGCAAATGTCTTCACTTTTAAGGGCAAGTTGGTTTCCAGTGAGAATTAAAATCATTAAGTGGTATTTTTGTTAAAGAAATCAATTAATGCATTTCATCCTTTCAATTAAAATTTTAACTGATATCTAAAAAAGTTAGTGTACTATTCTTGCGAAGGGCTTTTACTGTCTCTTTTCCTCTTTCGTAGCTAATTCCCACTACATATTCGAAAAAAATTATTGCAAACTTCTGAAGATGTAAAATATTATCTCTGCAAAGATTTTTTCCTAATGTTTTTTCTACTTCAGAACCTAGTTATAAGTATTGAAAGCACTAGTATAACCAACAACTGGGTGAATCAAAATTTTTTGATCTATAACCTTTAAATTATCAATCCTTCAAATTATAATTTTTTTTTAAAAAACAAAAGAGGAAAATATTAATCCAGAATACTGTAAATACTGAATAAGACAGAATTTTGCAACCTTAAATGCCGAATCAACAATTATGACTGTATTAAAAAACTTTAATACCATTACTTTGACCAAAATTCTCAGTCTGACTTCCAAACTCACCAAGTATTTTTAATCTTCAAGCATTCAAAATTTTGGAATAGTTATTTTGTACGATATTAAATAAACCAAAGAATGTGACATTATATTCGAAAATTGGACTCAATGTATAGTTAAAATAAGTTTTTTCAGTATATCTATCACGAAGCACTTTGAATAATTCATGATTCCTAAATATGCCTGTTGAGATCTTTAAGTCCTAATGTGATATTAAATTTAAACGTTAAATTCACTACATTAAAGCTGCAAAAAATTTAGTATTTATGTTCACTTTTGTATATACTGTAATAATCTATCGAATCAAAGAGATGTTAAATGTTTGGTAATAAAACTAACCAATACTGTATATCTGACCAATAAAAATGTGAATCAAGAACGATACTTTCGAATGGCATTATTTCAATAGGTCATTCCAGTCCTCCATTGAGCTAAATAATGTGAACCATTAAAATTTTCGCCTTCGCTAAACCACCACCAGAACAGTATTTATTTTCTAATTTACATTGAGGAGACATTTAATTCAAACATTTTTCAACGAGCTTGGAAGTTATAAATTTATTATCGTTGTAAATATTAGCAATCAATTAAAACAATTACATATAATCTGCAGTTATCAATATACTTCATAGTATTTATTAACAATATCCAACATTATTAACTAGCCATAAATTGTTAATAACTACAGCCGCACTTCATATAATCACACCATCAGGAACCATAAAAAGTGATATTATATAGAAGACAAATTTACAATGTGCTTAATATAGAAAATTTTTATATATTTAATAATAGTAGCTAGTTCAAAAAATAAATATGTTTATAAATATGAAGTGCTTATAGAGACGATTATATGGAAGTGTGACTGTAATTATTAATGCTTTCATTATCAACTCAAAATTTGAAATCCCATCACTTTTTTCGACGTAAAAATATTATTTCTGCTATAATAACTGCGATAAAACAAGCAATAGTGATACTAACAATCGCAATAATAATCGATTGAGGTGGATATATAACGATAATTATTGTGTCTATTATTATAGCTGCGATCGACGCTATAGAGCTATTAGCAATAATAGTCAACCTATTATCCCGCAGTGGTTGACGATTAATTTTTATAATTGCTACTGTAGTTGCAATAAACACCACATAAAAAGCAATGGTCAGACCAATAATCAAAGGAATTGGTATTATTGGACACGTGTAGTTGGGTGTAAAAGTGGTTACCCATTCTAAGCGCGGTAGGCACAATAAATAAATGGAAGAACTAGTTTCAACGGACTCGGATTTATCATTAGTAATATTACCTTCATTATTTTTCAAGAAAAAAGATAATTTAGTTTTATTTATAATAATAATAATAATAATAATAAGATAATTACCGAAGGCAACAATAATAAGGTTCTGATATAAATTTACAGTATGATATGCTAATGGAGACCGCGGTCGAATTCCAGAATCTTTTAATTCTGAATATTCATAAGATTCGGTTCTAATATCTAACATTATAAAAACTGGATATGCAGTAGTTGCATCTATTACATGGCCTATAAATAAATATTTATTTAATACTAAACATATTTGAAAGAAAGCAGGCTTTATTAATATTTACTTGAGGTTCCACCTATGATAATGATTTTATCATTATCTGGTGTTAAGGTTGCCGTGTGACCTATTCGAGCCTCAATAGAAGTTCCTGTTGGTATTGTTGCTTGCTGAATGTTTATATCTTAAATTAGAAATAATGGATAATGGTAAGACATAATGGTAGTCACTAAAAATATAAATAAGTACTTTGGATGACCAGGTTAAAGAATTTGTGTCGAATACTGAAATCTATATTAGAAGTTTATTTATATAAAAATTAATATAATAAAAATAATATGCATATTTTTGAACAAGCATCATTCTGAAAATTTGATAAAAATAATTACATCTTTCATTT